GAGTGCATTTGATCCAGTCGCAATGGAGAAATCAAAACAATTAACCCTTGAGGATTGCTTTTGGGGAAGAAAAGGATGCAGCAGCCATCTAAAGAGGCTATGAGTGCAAGAACACTGTGCATGGCGCACGGTTAGTGCAGCAAAGGTGCTCGGTCTACCTCCGCAAAGGCAAGCGAAGTGAAACTGGAATGTGCTGTAAGATATTGTGTGCCCTTGCATCAGGGCAATTGCTCCATTTTGTATCACAACCAAAAAAATTATGCAAAAGTTGCAGGGTGGAGGGGGAAACACATGCACGTATGTGCTGTCAACACATGCAAACATGCACTTGCACATACTCACTGAACTCAATGTTTCACTTCTGCTCATAGTTCATTTCAGCAGTTCAATCGAGTGCAAATAAATATTTTTGATATCAAAGCCCTTTTTGCGGTGTTTGTTTTGTGGCAGGAAAGTCTTCTTCAGACGTTTGAGCTCTCAAAAAAGCAAAAAAAAAAAAGTAGTGATACTTGAAATTATGCTTGAAATGCATGCTTTTACAAAAAGGTCTTTTTATCCAATTTTTTCCATCAGAAACCTGAAATCTGATGGAATTTTGCTATTTTCTAATGCTAATAGCTAAATAATGGAAAAAGATATAAGCAAACTTTTTTCCAGCTAAAAGACAGTCTCATCTTTCTTTTGGCCAGCTGCATGTTTATATCGTAATCGAGCACAATCTGTGGGCCTTGCGAGGTCAATCAAAATTCAGTTGAACGGCTGGGATTGAGGGCTTTGCTCCAGTGGAAATGGCTGGGAATCAGTTAAGACAGTGATGTCAAACATGCGGGCCGGAACCGGCCCCCAAAGACGTTCGATCAGGCCCGCAGGATCATTTAAAAGTGAAAAAAATGCATAAAATACAAGGGATGAATATTTTTAATAAGGTGCAATTCATGGAGTATCTGCTAGGGGGACACACTGTTTTGATCAGAGTAGAAGACAACAGCAGTCTCAGTCTGTCACTGAGACAGACACAACACAGCAAACGATATCAAGGACATGTGAATACGTTATTCTTTACACATTTAATAGCACTCTCCTTATTTTGTAAGGTGTAGGCAGGAATTAGAGTTAGATTTTATTTGCACATGTGTAAATGGTTTAAAATATCCTTTCTTTATAAATCTCGTATATTTATCAGTACCAATTGTTTCAGTTTTGTGCCTTTTTATACAATCAGTGGGATCAGTTGCAATGCATATATGTGAATGATAAAAGTAAATTGCAAATTTGTCGAAGGAAATCTAAGCTGCTTCATGAAATGTTTTGTTGAAGATATGTTCATTAAATTTCAACATTTTCCTAATGTTCATGTGCGTTGAGACCTAAACAAAGGAAAGACATTATTTTGCTTATTTATAGCAGAGTCTGGTATAATTTTAATGGTCCGGCCCACTTGACATCTACCGAGGCCATATGTGGCCCACAATATGAAATGAGTTTGACACCCCTGAGTTAAACAGATCCTTTCTTTCACCATACTTTTGCCTTTCCACCACTTTTGTAGAGGTTAATCTTGGTCTCATCAGTCCACAAAACGTTTTATTCAAAACTAGTGTGGCTCATCTCGGTACTCCTTTGCAAATTCCAATCCGGCTTTCCCATTCTTTTTGTCGTTGTGTAGTCAGAACATTCCAAATTCTTGTTTTGGCTTTGCCCAATGATTGTGCAAAAAAAAAAATCTGATTGCTTTTGTCCCATAGACAGTTGTCTGGTATTCATGTTTGCGTAAGAACAAATGCAGTTTTCACAAGCGAACTCAAAATCCGAAACCAAACACTATCGAATGTTAAAGCAGTCTAAAAGGAACAACAAACATCTATCAGTCACATGTTCCAATACTTTTGCTCACTTGAAAAGTGGGTGGGTTCAAGCAAAAGGTTCTTTGTCCTGAATCGTTGAACACATCTGGATGTCAATACGATTAAAAAAAAAAAAGATGGAATTCTCAATTTTTGTCTCATTCATCTTTTGATCAGGAGCCACAAATTTCTTCAGTATACAACAAAAACAAAGGAACTGACCTTGCCATTCCAATGCTTTTGGAGGGAACTGTATACACATTTTTTTGTTGTTGTTAATTTAAATACATGAGTTTTGTCTCAGCAATATGTCATCTGCACTTCGACACATGACAGTAATTCTATGGACATTGATATCGTCACTGTATTGTGTCAATAGGTATCCTCTTGGGAGCGTGCGGGGACCGGTCAATCCGTTTCCGTCCAGCGCTGGTCTTCAAGGAGTACCACGTGCACATGTTCCTCAACCTCTTCAATGACGTATTGGCCCAGATCAAATGAACAAATGACAGGCAAAACAACAACATTCCGGGACAGAATTCAGAATAAGTGGAAGGAAACCTCCTTACCGTCCATGACAAGAAATGCACAAATCACACAATTGAAAAAAACCTTTTACAGGGCCAAGGTCAGTTGAGTTTACCCAAGCCACAACAATGATAACAATGTCTCCATACATGTGATGTCATCAAGCTGTAAATTAATTTTGTATTTCAAATCATTGTCATAATTCTATAAATGTGTGGGAATGACACCATAATGAAACAGAGTGAAATCTGTCACATTTGGGTAGATGCTTGTGGTGAGTGGGTGAAATAAGAATGCAAAGTCCATCACCATATTCTTCACCAGCATCACTCCTCTTGAAACGAGCTTTTCTCCAGGTATACTTTCTTTTAGAGATCATACACAGACTTTCACAAACACAACCTGATGCGTCATCTGTCGTATGTGCACAGTACTCCACTCAATAACTCCAATGAATGTGGTGGAATCTGATATCATCACATGAAAATGTAGTAAAGCAACTTATTTTGAGATAAAAGTCAGTACTGGCTAATCTCTCCATAATGTAAGGCCTTTTCTCACTGCACTTGGTGCAGCCAAAGGACGGTAAAGGCTTGCCCATATTTGGATGCTCTTGCATCGGTAGAGTAACAGGGAGGCTTATTCTATTAGCACTCTGAAATCACTCTACCAACCAGTTTACTCTTGGATGCGCCGCCTAACGTCACCGCTGCATCACTCTGGAATTGAACATTTTTCATACACAATTAATGGGTTTGTTGCTGAGTGCAGTTTGAAAAACCCTTTCCTTGTCACAACCTTGAGAAAAAGTGTTAGCCCCGTGTTGACTTCTAACATACAGTGCAATCAATTTTGTCCACAATTTCTGCAGGGGTTTTTTTTCATCCTTTGTCACACTCAGAGTTCTGAATGACTTGTGAAACAGGCAAGAACAGTGCAACACCATCCCTTTTAAGACTTGCCATCTTAAAAGTGTCGGACTGTTATTTTAGACAACATTAACTACTGTATATGGAAATGATGCCAATAAATATTACCTTCAACTCACTGCTCAGAGCAACATACAGTTCATTTTAGGACTCATACACTGATTGGCCTTCCAATCACTAAAGTTAGCACGGATACTTGTTTGAGATGGCAGACAGTCATTAATGATGCAGGATTTCAATGTTAGTGGTGAGTACAATGCCAGCCTGCATGTCAGTGTCCCACTTGAAAAGTCCTTGCCATTGATTCTGCCTGTTATCTTGCTATTAATAGAAATGACTCCGCTTGAAATGTTGTTGCCCAGATAAATGCCAACCTTAAATTGACCAGGAAAATGTCTCAAAATATTTAGTGCCTGCATGATATTTGGTATATTTTTTTTTCAGTATTACTTTTGTATACTCAAGCATCAATTGCGGCTAGTCGTGAACGCCCTTTCACATTTGTTTCTATGAATGGAACAGACTGCATTTCACAGCTAGCAGTCTGTTGTGCTTACTTCAGAAATAACATGTTTAACGATTAAAGTAAATAAAGACAGAGCCCACATGTAGTTTACTAGCTACGGCTAAACTTGTAAATGATATGGAATCCAATAACAAAGTGTTTGTTTTTTTGACACAAACCTTGAAGGATAATGATGCTCTTTTGTAATCATGGACTTTTTCTGTGCTCAAAGATTCTACCGGTGCAAATTTAAACCAAGTGGAATAAAGTTATTGAACTTAAGAAAGTTGTTCGGGGGTGTGTATGAAAACGTGATTTTGACAAAGATGTAGCACATAATGTCTAATAGCTTTATAGTACGGGCATACATAAATGTCGGTGTAATGTCAAAAGATGCAGGAAATGTGTTTTACAGACTGCTACATGTCAGACCATCTTTGTGAATGTTTCATGCAATCTTTTGAGCAAGTGTCAGAAATGTGTATCCAGTAAGATACCATCTGTCTTGTATGAATTATCTTAACTTAGTGTATGTTGAAATCTCCGGAGAAGCCGTTTGGTTGGTTAACACTGAGGAATATTATGGTAATAATACTGCTCCACTCCTCAGTCAGGATCATAAAGAGGAAAGGGATGCAAATAAGCTTCTTTAAGCATTTTGCACTCATGATCTGATCTAGATGATTATTGATGTAATTATTTTAGATGGCTATAACTGTTGTCTCTAATCTATACACTGTCAATGTACTGTGACAAATAAATGACATTTTGGCTAACTTATCTCTTGTTTTTTTTTTTTTAACTTATTTGTGTTCATTGAAATAATATTCTATTTGATATGAGTATTCCATTCAGTTGATCACTTATGTATTTTTGTGGTAACCGTTAAAAAACTTCTCGTATGTCGAGCATAGCCCATGGACACGTGGTCACGTATTTCAAGTACTTTTACAGTGTTTCGTCACTTTTCTTGTGTGATCCCGTTCGGCCTACGTCAGAATAAGCGTAACACTCGAATAACAGTAGAAGCAAGCCAGCAGCAAAAGTCGAGCACAAGGATGTTCGCGTTTGCGTGACAACGTGGCGCTTCACACCCAATAAGAATGAGCAGAGTCAATGTCGTTAGTGTGATTGGTTAAAAATCTTCAGTTGGGCTGTTTCATTGGTTACTTAAACAACAAATCCCGCCTCCTTGACAACGTTATTTAAAAGGTACAGAGTGCCAACGCGGACAGTTTTCTCTGAAGCGCTTAATATCATCCAGCTGGCGTAAGCTGCTCGCAAGAAGGTGGTAAGTGATTCAGAAAATTGGTCTTTTGGTTCATGAGATAAACCCAAATAAACGCTGCCTTGTTTTTCATCTCAAAGTTGAAAAAATATTTTGCACCGCTCTGAAGTGACGAAGTTTGTAGTGGTGGGAGTCATACGATGGTCCCGAGGATAAGAGAGAAGGATGCGAATGCTTTCGAAACATTTTTTCTCTTTTTTTCGAAACCAAAGCATGCAATTCAAATAACAGACGATGTTTATGTTTCTTGTTTAGGTTTCTTGTTGTCACTCACACAGGAATGCTGAGTAAAGTTAATTACTGACGAAGGGTTTGGTCTGGTCCTCCGATATTCTAATTTGCAAATTGTCAACTGGTCGTGTGGAATTTCTTCCTTGGAGGTTACTGAGCATAAAAGGAAAAAAATGGGGACTCTCGCCAAAAGTATATATCGGGATCGTTCGACTAATGTCTGATTTGATGCAGTTGACTTATCAATGACATCTAAACTAACATTCTGATTCAGTTGGATGACATTTTCCATACGTTTTCTGTCCTGACTTTGCTACTATTGCATTGGGTGTGTCCCTTCTCTCCCAGCAACCCATTCAAAGTAACCAACTGAGCGGCAAATCTCATTTTGTCCCTTTTGCCCATGCTTTTTATGTTCTTTTGTTTAGGGATGCATTTAAAAAATTGCGGTTGCAAACAGCAATAAAGGAGCTCGAAACAACAGCTGTCAAGTTAATCATGGTCAATTTTAAATTGCATAAACATTCTCCTGCTGTAAAATTCCCTTAAAATAGCTAGTTTGCTCACAAAATATATAATATCACTATTTCCATCCTCAGTTGCTGACAGCGAATCACAATGCTGCTGCAGTCCCTCGCATTGGTCTACCTCCTGGTTGCTGCCACCTTCGCAGTCCCCGCTCAGGAGAAACGCGTCCATCACCATGCCGACCTGAGCGACCACGCCCACAACGACGCTCACGACTTTCAGTACGACCATGAGGCTTTTCTGGGCAAAGAGGAGGCGAAGACTTTCGACCAGCTGACGCCGGAGGAGAGTAAAGACAGACTGGCGTAAGTTATGCTTGACTAGGCCTAACACAAGGTGTCACACGTTGCATCTCAACAGAAATTTGGACTTCTGTTTTTGTGTCATGTTCCTTGTTCCCCAAACAAGAGGTTTGATAAAGTGTCTGACAAGGATAAAGCAATAGTTTTACAGTAGTGCTTTGACCGAATTACAAAATGGGCGAGATTTTCAGCAAAACCTGAAGGCTAGTTGCAAAAATGAAATCTGCAAACTCGCTCGTAGCAAATCTCAAATACAGTACAAGATGTAGGGAAACACTGGACACTGTTTTGCTATTGCTAATTGATACGTCCCTTTAAAAATGTTTACAATTGCCTATATGTGCCACAAGAGGGTAGCAAAGCACTCTTGGAACGAAGAAGCCACAAGAACCACAAATACTTTTAATTGCTTTGGCTGGAGAACAACAACAAAGGTATTTTTTTTCGGTGAATAACAAAGAATAGACCCCCCACAAACCCTACAAAAAAATGTGAATAGGTGAATTCACTGTACAGAGTTTTCCATGAAATATAAGGGTTGTTAATCGTAATTTCCAAGATCATTTGGAAATTACAAAAAGGTCTGGTCAGGAAAAGTAAAGTACTACTTTCCGACCTGATCCCTCTTTGTTTCCCCCAGGAAAATTGTGGACCGCATTGACACAGACAAGGACGGCTTCATCAACCACGCAGAGCTGCATTATTGGATCAAACACAGACAGAGGAGGTACATTGAGGAGAACGTGAACAAACACTGGAGGGATTATGACAAGAACGAAGATGACAAAATAGCATGGGGGGAGTACAAGAACACGACCTACGGATTCTATCTTGGTACGTCACTCACTCGCATCCACCTCTCAATACCCCTATCGGTCTAACTTCTCTGTCTGTCCTCTCAGATGAGGAGTTTGACGACGTGGAGGACAAGGCCACCTACAAATCCATGCTAACCCGAGATGAAAGACGCTTCAAGACCGCCGATCGTGACGGCGACGGGATCGCCACGCGAGAGGAGTTCACTGCCTTCCTCCACCCGGAGGAGTTTGATTACATGAAAGACTTGGTAGTACAGGTACAGATTTGTAGCTGAAAAGTGGATGAGCAATTGAAGATTTGATATCTGTTCTTGTATGTAGTTGTGATTCGTGGCCTTCAATAGTCAAGCGTAACATTTTGGTGAATTACATTACACGAGAGTGATTCCAGAATGTTCAGAACAAGAGTGACTGGAAAGGTGTTAACATTTGTCTAGTGTCTTTCTCCATCACGTTTATTGGTCTGAACTGTTCACATATGGGGAGGTGGAAAAATCTGTCTGAACCCACAACATTAGCAAACTTTTTTCAAAGTAAAAAAAAAATTGTCTTGTAGGAAACAATTGAGGACATTGATAAAAATGGGGACGGCAAGATCAGCTTAAACGAATACATTGGTAAGTGACCTGCGTTTTGAACTCCGCTCAATTCGGATGCTGAATGTAATTTTGGGTGTGTGTGCTGCGAATTGAATGCCCATAGGTGACATGTACACACCGGAGGAGGGAGAGAGTGAGCCTGAGTGGGTCCAGACTGAGAAGAAGCATTTTACTGATTTCAGGGATGCCAACAAGGTATGGGACTAAGTTTATCGTAAGACCTTGATCTATTTTATCTGTTTTATTGTTTGAATTAAGAAAAAAATTCAACATTAAGTGCAGCTCCCAAAGGAAATCAAAATGTATCTTTGTAAAAGCAAATTTCTAAGACAGCATCTAAAGAAGCATTCATTTCCATTTACTTGCTTTTACTTTTGAAGGATAAAACTTGTCCAGACCAATTACACTGCTCAACACATTTTTATTATTTTTTAAAATCAGAGATGAAAGTAAATTCCTAGTTTTTTTTGTCTTGTTTTTTTGTGCCAATTCCCAATATGGCAATGTGTGTTTCTCTCGAGGACATTAAGTTTTCATAACTACATGTATTTAGTAATTTTTTTATTTTTTTTTTGAAACGTCACACTATAAATCACTTGACATATTAAAAGCCATATTGCGCCTGCTTTTATAGGGTCAAACTTTAAAAATATATCAAAAACACCATTCTAGGAGAAAAGAAAAAATACATTTGTTTATATTGGTGTCAAAAATCAGTTTACAGACACATAAAACCATCGCTGATTTAAAATTTGCTGCTGGCGAGTGTTATTGTCCCACAAGTCAACAGATGCATCACTAATTAGAGGTAAGATCGGGCCGCCCGAGCCCGACCCGAAATTCGGGTCGGGCCCTAAAATGTCAATCACTGCTTCGGGCTCGGGCCAGCAATTTTTTTCTGCCAAAAATACTCATAAATAAAATATGAAATTTCGGGTTTGCTTCGGGCTCGGGCCTGCAAATCAAGTTCATTGGTCGGGCTCGGGCCGGGTCAGGCTTTAATACCCTCGGGCCCGGTCGGGTCGGGCTAGATTTTTTTTTAGGACAGATCTTACCTCTATCACTAATGGTCTTCACTCAACCGAAACCCGCAAGCTTGTAAACAGTGAGAGATGTGAGTTATGACTGCAACATAAGCTACAGTTTGATCAGAAGCAGACAACCTTCCTTCAGAAAAATAGAGAACGGAACAGTAATTCCCTCAGTCAACTAGTATAGGAATCATGGAAGTAGGATAGAAACTGGACCAGTGCCTGGTCGCTTCTTCATACTGAGGCAAGTCGCGTGTCACACAGGATGGGTACATGGATTTCGGTGAGGTGGCGCAGTGGATTTTGCCCGGAGAAGTCGACCACGCCGACAATGAAGCCAAACACTTGATCCACGAGACAGACAGCAACAAGGTAACACTGTTGCATCCAAACACACATGTACACTACATGACAAAATAGACATTCGTGTTCTTGGCAACTCCAGTCATAATGATTGACATGGACCGTAAAATTGCTGAAGAAACCTACAGTAAATATCAGTCAAAGGTTGATACAGTTACTGGATGAATGGATGATAGAGATAAATATACATGGATAGATACCAGGATGCAATAAAATAGGTAAGAATGATACAATAGATACTGTAGGCATACATGCAATGGCGAGTGATGAAAAAAGCGGAAGGGGCGTGGCCTGGACAGGGGCGTGGTTACTTACAAAAGTGGCACTAAACATGCTGAAGATGAAGTGTATTAAATTTACACAGTTTGAAAATTGAACAGAAAAAAATCCCAAGATCGCCACTATTCTTTCAAGTGAAAATTTGTGCAATTTTGCCTATGCATTCCTGGTGAGCACCAATATGTAACTCCAAATTTGCTGCTCAAAATCAAAACTAAAAAAGTAAACACATTCCCTGCCATATTTAAGATTTGTTCATGACTTGTATTCATAAAGTGTTGTGTAAATGTGATAAAAAGCTGTTGATTTTTACCTCATACAGTGATAGTGAATATTTATTATGCATACAATTTATTATGCCTAACCGTGCTTTATTATCCAAGACAAAACGTGAATTATCAATATGAATATAAAACGCAAATAAAAACAAATAAATGTTATCATGCTGTTGCTACAAATGCATACCAAATAAATTTGAAAATATCATCCTCGTATATTTGAATAAAAAAGTATATACCTCGGAGTGTACCTGTCTATCGGCGAGGGGCGTCAGTGGAGCAGATTTCGTTGCTTGGTTCAGCCAAAGTAAGTACCCCAGCGTGTAACGTCTTTAGTTGTATCCGCTGACTAAGTTTGTTTGAAAAATGCCGATCCCAAAGAATAATTGCTCCGTCGAATGGCGATTTTGTTGGCATGTTTTTTTCACGTTTGTTGCATGATCTGTCAGTGCCACGCATCCACGGGAGCCATAGTTAATTAAGTCACTACAATACACACAATAAGCTTTGCCTGCTACGTCTGGTTTCTTCAAAAATTGTCCAAGAGCTTCTGTAACTTCGTCGAACTTGGAACCAATTTTAACCTTTACAGTGACTTTTCTGTCAAGCCAGTCCAATCGAAATTTATTCTTGACATTTGAGTCAATTTCTAGGATTAAAGACTCCTGATCTTTCGTCAAAAATTTCATAATTCCGCTCAAAACGATCCCAGAACAATGAATTTGCGAGACGAACAGGCCGCCATGAATCAGGTAAAGCAATATGTTACATGCAATTTGATTGGTCCAATCGCTTGTAGTTAACCAATCGCTGGGCCGTTTATAATCGAGCTAAGACTTCCGCAACAAATAATGCCTTCAGTGATCTGATTAGTTGAAGCTTTCATACACGTCCAATCGCAGGGCTGTTTACAAACGGAAAACGGAGAGACTGTTCGGGAGAGCTCGTGAAAACTCGACGATAAGGTACCTGACCGCCCCTAAAATTTTCTCAACGGATTTAGACGATTCACAAAAATGATCAATTTAAGAAATAAAACGGCGAATTTCCGCGGATAATTGCCATGTATGTGTAGGTAGATTCATCACCGGTGGAATAATTACAGCAATAATTCACTTAATCAAATTTAATTCACACTAATTGCCTGTCTTCTCTCTGTCTTCATTTCCTCTTTCTTTTCATGACTTTATGCGTCTCCTCCATCTCCTTCTGTGTCAATCACACGAATGTCGGATGCAATGTGGCCGATCAATCGCCAGGATGAGAAAATAACCAAACAGGAAATCCTGGCCAACTGGAACATGTTCGTGGGCAGCCAGGCCACCAATTACGGAGAAGATTTAACAAGGAGTCACGACGAACTTTGATGAGCTGTCGCCGTTCCAAACGGAGCTTGTCCGGGTCCATATTATTTCACGAGGTTTGCTCACATGGGGTCTGTGTGTGATGGCCGCCGGTGACACGACAACAAGTATCACTCTTGCAGAAACGATTCCACATTGCAGTCACATACTGTGTATGTGGTTACAGGTGATTTCTTACGCCCATAACATAGCATTACTGTAGTCAGCTGAACACAGTCCAAAAAAATTTAGACGGAGGAAGTGTTTGGGGAAAAAAAAAACTGTGGATATCGTCCGACGTGCACTGATATTAAACTGAAACTGTGTGTTTTGAGTTGGTGCTTAGAATGTAGTCACATTTCTGAATATCAGAGACCGTCACAGTGACACACACTCCACTGACAGACCGCTTCGTCATTTATGTGCGGTGCTGTACTTGAAATATTTTCAGCGCTTCACGGTACTTACTTTCATCCATCCCATGTATGGAAATTGATTTTAAAACATTTCAAATGAAAGATGTGTTGCCGTTGTATTGGATTGAGTTGTCACAATGTAGGTCAGAGGCATGTTAACGTTGGCTACAAGAGTTAACTAAAAGAAGTTTGCCATTAAAGAACTGTGTTACTGTTGATTGGACAAATAAATGGACTTTTCTATTTGGTGTTTTTTTTGGGGGGGGTGGGGGGGATTGCGTTGAGTACTCATCATATTGCAGTTTAATGTACAGTGGTACTTCTACTTACGAACATCTCTTCATACGAAATTTTCAAGGTACGAAACGTTTCAACAGGAAAATATTGCAAGATTGCAGCTCTGAGTTTCCTGAATGCAACATACATATAGCTGCTCTGCCATTGGCTATTACCGAGCATCTTCCTGGCATCCCTTTAGCTAAGAGGGACCTCTACCGGATGTGTCTATGTGTGTAGATAGATATGTGTCTATGCAGCCTTGTGATTCGCCCCTCGGGCCATGAGGTGTTCCGATAGGTTTACGTAAATGTGAATCACCCAGAAAAAGTGTTCACCAGTTGGGCGAACGCTCACGATGCTGATTTTGGCTTGGACATTTTCGAAGGATTGTTAAAAGCCAACAAAAGCCAACCTCCTCGGATTAGTTCTTTACAAAACACCAGGCAAAAACCACTTCTGAAAGAGAACATGAACTGAACAGGGCAAAAAAACAATGAGTTAAAAGTTAAATGATCATCAGTTTTATTCTTTATTCTTCATTTTTCACATTATGCACAATTCTCATTTATTGTGCATTAATCTTCCTTTAACATGTATTTGTTACATATTTTGATGCATTTTTATGCTTTAGGAAACATTTATGTCTGAATTTTGGGGGGGCTTGGAACAAATTAGAGTATTTACATGGAAAATGCGTCTCTACTTACAAAATTTTCTAGTTAAGAAATTTCTTCCAGAACCAATTAATTTCGTAAGTAGAGGTACCACTGTACTTATGAAAGCAACTAAATTCTGGTATTTTTGCTCGTCTCCCTGTACAGTTAAAATTATAAGCAACTCAGCATTTTCCAATGTTTCATCTTCACACAAGAAAAATGAGGGGCAGACAACTGCAATAAAGTCCTGTACTACAATAATGGCATCATACATACTTAAGGACTTATCATCTGCCTCTCTGAATGTTATTCAGATGATTTCCATCTTCAGTCAATTGAGACACATCTGTTCCTTTTTACTGTTGCTTTTTGTTTTCCGACCTTCCCTGTTCTGTGCATATCAGGATGGGCTTGTGACACTGTCTGAGATGCTCGACAAACTCGACTTCATCAAGATCAGCACCATCACAGATTATGGAGCCATGAAAGACGACGGCCATGACGAACTGTGAATGTCAATACCATAAGAATTATTATGACGATGTTTTATGTATATTTGAGAAATATTTCTCAATCCAAATATAATCGGCCAGACGTTTGGGAGAGCACATTTATTCAACTGACCAATAAGCAGGCGAATATGCGGGTTCAGTAAGAAAATAACAACACTCTTCAAATGGTATGAACAGTATGCTGTAGATTTTGAAGAATAGAATAACAGACAAAAAAATGGTCAATATATCAGATATCAAAGAAACAAATGGCATGTTTGGGCTGTTTGCAATCTTCAAAAACTTTTTTTAGAGACCATAATACTAATTACCAGAGTCATCTTTCACACTTGCATCACTGGACGAGCTTCTTTGGCCTTAAGCTCGACACCAGCACCAGCAAAGCCTGTTCCTCCCTGTCAAAGAAACACCAAATTCAAGGTCATCTTAGCAGAGGGAAACTAAACACTGTCAGTTTCTTTCATTTACAAATCTCCACTCACACAGCCTCATTTGTTTAAAAAAAAAAAATGCACCCACACCAAAATGCTTAAGTGTGTTTTTAAAGCACAGGCAGAAACAAAGACAATTTTCTATCGACGTTTACCAGTGCCCTGAGCTTGAAAAAAGGTGTACCGTATTGAAAGGCGCAGTGTCAGTTACGAGTGCGATTTCGATATTTAACACAAGTACAAGGCGCATTGTATTTCTGCTATGTTATAGTTGAATAGATAGTTCCATTATTTTTGCTGCCCACCACGAATCCTGAGGGTCTCCCGAAACAGATTTTTCACAAAGCAGGTCAGGGCGAGGAACAAGGAAACGGTCATCAATAAAACATTTTTAAAAAACTTCATGTCATGTTTTGTATGAAAGTGCGATCCCCAAGTGGCAAGAAGTATTTTCCAAAGCAAGTCTTTTCTGCCACATAGGCATTTCACAATGTTCTTGCCACTCCATCATTATCGATGGATATCCTGGACAATCAGCTGTTCCTTGATTATGTGAGATTACGTGTAATCATGCGAGAGGAAAAAAAAAATTGAACAACAAAACCCAATCTACCTAATTATACTTCATATATAAATAATACTTAAATTTTTGAGCGTGGATAGCAGCAAATCGGGGGAAGCCTGTAATGCATGGTTGACAAAGAAAAATCTGTTCTGATGGGTAATTTTAGGGCTACGTGGTGTTCTCGAGAAATTACGGTACATTCTATTGACCGCGCACATACCCTCTGCAGTGGTATGATGTCATTGTCAGAGAGCTTGTCTCCACTCACAGGATCCGTCATGTCCAACTTGATGAGTCTCTCCACACACTCCTGTGTCACCACGCACCCCCTGAATATAGCATGGAGAGAAGTGAATGGAATCTTTCCATGCGAACATGCAGGCAACTGCAGAAAGACACACTGGTTCAGCAACTCACGAAGGTCGCAGGACGGCACAGGGAACGCTGTTGCCTAGGACGTCTTTGGTTACTGCACAGATGTATCTGTCCTGTTGGGAAAGAATTGCTATTTAATATAATAAATGTAGGGACCGGCGGACGAGTGGTTAGCGCGATGACCTCACAGTGCAGAGGTCATGGGTTCGATCCCGGCTCCAGCCTTCCTGTGTGGAGTTTGAATGTTCTCCCCGTGCCTGTGTGGGTTTTCTCGGGGTACTCAGTTACCTCCCGCATTCCAAAAACATGCATGGCAGGCTTATTGAACCCTCAAAATTGTCTCTTTGTGTGAGTGATGGTTGTTCGTCTCTGTGTGCCCTGCGATTGGCTGGCAACCGGTTCAGGGTGTCCCCCGCCTACTGCCCGAAGACAGCTGGGATGGGCTCCAGCACCCCCCGCGACCCTTGTGAAGTTAAAGCAGAATGGAAAACGGATGGATGTAGGAACTGCAACAATTTATAGCTGTTGAAAGAAGAAAAAAACTGCAATAAATGATAACTGCGTTCTTAATAGGAACACTGCATGTTCGAACAGTGAGAACACAGCTGTGGTGCCCAAGGCTCAGTTGGCGATTGTAGTAGGTTGATTTGTTCGATAAACTAGTTTCATTAAATACATCCATCCATCCATTTTCTGACCCGCTTTTATCCTCACAAGGGTCGCGTGGTGTGCTGGAGCCTGAACTGATTGCCAGCAAATTGCAGGGCACACAGAGACGAACAATCATTCGTGCTTGCAATCAAACCTAGGGACAATTTAGAGTGTTCCATTAACCTGCCACGCATGTTTTTTGGAATGTGGGAAGAAACTAGAGTACCCGGGGAAAACCCACGCAGGCACAGGTAGAACATGCAAATTCTACACAGGAAGGCTGCAGCCAAAATCAAACTCTGCTGTACTGTGAAGCCGACGTGCTAACCAGTCAACCACCGGGCCCGCCTCTTAAATGCAATTAAACCAAAAGTTGCATACACTGTAGTACCAGGAGCTCCAACTCCAGTTTACCACATGGTTAGTTCAATGGTAGCATCTTTTCCATGCTCATTGGTAGTGTTTTCATTTTGTAATTGTGTGTTTGACATTTTGTCCAGTTCAATAAACGGCTGAAAGTATATCTGCGACTCTAACTCCCTCAGCGATTTCACTTCACTCAGGTGGTGGTGTATCAAAGGGAGGGGGGAAAAAGACCAAGTCATGGCTTGTAACTTGAAAAACTTGTCAGGTGGTTCACTTGAAAGTCAAGGTAATTTTTGAGGCTGATGCTGATTCCAATATTTGTCAGAATAAAATTCAATCAGCCAATTAATTAGTATTTATTTAACTTTACAACAGAGAGAAACATTGGTAAAATTCGGCTGATTGTTTTGCAAAAATCAGCAAATATTTTTGGGGAGGGCAAATGTTTGAATGTCATTTTCTTTGTCTTATTTTGCATTGCGTTACCAAAAAAAAAAAAAAATCTGCAAAAAATGGGCAGTGGGTCAGTCATCTGATTTTTGCCAATTTTTAAAGGGGCTTTAATATTGGCCTATGAATAAGTCAGGTGCTACCACAAGGAAAGTAACCAAGTAGGTAAGTACTTTAATCTGTTTTGATATGCATATTTTCTGACAGTGTGTCAGTGAGTGAGCCGTTCTGTCCTCCCGCCCAACAGTTACATCATAGATCTGTGAAGTTGTCGACACCGCATTTTTTTTTTTTTTTTGTGGCGTGTCCATGAACCATACAGGCACAATGGAGCGAATGAATTGCTGCCTCCTTGGGAGAAAATATTTCTTATTGTCTTGAAGGACACTTTGGGCTCTTGTCCCCCAAACTGCTTGCTTGCCTTTTTAGCCTTTGCTCCACACCCATCAGCATGGTAACAGTATCCAAACTTGCCATTGCTACAGCAGCATACAGTATAGACTGTAATTTCTAGTTGCTCAGTGTGCTAATGGGCCAATTTCAGCAAGACAGGTTGGAATGTGGTACGTAATATGCGTTGTTAATGCTTGATATTATGATGAAGTCACTTTTATATTGGTTGGGTTTTAAATTGTGACAATATGCTCCTTTAGGCTAACCTGGCGATTGATGAGGGCCACTCGGTCCAGACTCGGGTCTACCGGGGTGAAGCGCACGGTGATCAGCTCGTTCATCTTAATTGGTCGGCCTGACATCGGACACAAAACAGTCTTACTCTGAAAAGACATTAGGGAAAACGAAATGAGAGGAAACTGTTAAAAAGAATTACACAATTTCCAAACACACTACTGAATTTCAAGAGCCACAGATGAGCTTTGGATTCAGAGGTCAACTTGTCTCCATCCGCATGCAAATACGCAAAATAAACAAAGGTCATCATGACATACAACCTGAAGGCAAACATGTTAAAATGCCATTGACATCACACAACAAGCAGGCAGGTCATAAAATAGCTGCAAAATTTCATTCAATAAGGTAGCAAAAAAGGCATCTTGCTGGCATGAGGAATATTTTCAGTCGTTATCTTTTTAGACCAGGGAACCATATTTGATTCTCTAAACTCCAATTGAAACAACCCTGTATTGCTCACTATTAAAAAAAAGACAGTAAAAAAAAAAAAAAACACGATTCCGCTGCAGACCACAAATGAGAGAAAACGAGGGTTGAAAATAACTATGCCAATTTAAAAGTACAGTCAAACCTCGGTTTTCGAATGTCTCTGTTCTCGACCAAATCGGTTTTCGACCAAAGATTTCAAGTTTTTTTTTATGCCTCGGATGACGACCGAAAATCGTTTCTCGAACAAACTGAGCGCACTTGAACGCGCCACTTGACTCCTCTCACCTTCCTTACACGAGGAAGTGACGCTTCCTCGTGTAGCGTTCCATTACTGACCAGATGTGTTCAATAAAGATTTTTTTTAAAAAAGAGCGTGGTTTCGGTTTTCGAACAAATCGGTTTTCGAACAGCCTTCTGGAACGGATTATGGTCGAAAACCAAGGTATGACTGTACATATATTACACAACACCAATAAAGATTAAACATACTCAAAAAGAAAATGTAAGCACATTACAGAATAGGCCACAATAATTTTCAGGGGTTCAAATGTTTGATTTCCAAGTGCCGTAACTCAATGAGTGAAATTTGGTCAGTACAGGATAACATTTAAATCATTCATATTTTTAGCCACGCAGTTTCATGGCTCAGACTGGCCCGCTTGAGTTCTCAACGTTTTAATGAAGAAATACAATTTGACCCTTCTTAAGAGTATTACCGTAATTTCCGGACTACAGTAAATATTCCCGTCCCCGGAATTCTATAAAGGAATGTCCTTCACCCGGAGTAAAAACCTATGCATTAACATTTTGACTACGATTTTACGTGTTACCGGAATTACGTAAGCGGAAATTCCACTAGCCGTAACCCGGATGGAGGTGTAATGCCGCGGGAGCTTAAATACACGCAACGCCCACCCGATGCGACGGAAAAGACACGACGCTCA